TCTCCAACCAGGGATGGAACCCATGCCCCCTGCAGTGGAAGCGCAGAGTCTTAACCACTGGACAGCCAGTGAAGTCCCAATATTCAGGTAATTTTGATGGCACAGATTTCTAGCTTCCTGTTAGAACATACATAGAAAGCAAAGTCCTCCTAAGATATTCACTCTTCAAGGCTGAGACTGTGGACCATATGATCTTGTCATAGTCCTGGCACTTCCTAATTGTTCATAGCAATACCACCACCAAAACCACAAAGGCCAAACCATATTTAATTTTTAAAGCCTTGAAACAAGGTCAGTTTGGCTTTGAGGGTTCAACTACTAGTTTCTTGGGCCCCACGTGGATATTTTTTATATTCACTTATTACTTGGCCCTTTTGTACTGCCAGGTGAAGGCAAGATCAAAGTGGAACATGATTTTGTTATAGAATGAGCTTCCTTTGGTCACTAGGAAACAAACTATAAATACAGCAGGCTATCGCAGAGTCATTGCTAGTTCTGGTTACAGCCATGTTACAGAGAAAGAAATGATTAATATTGTCAGGCAGGAGATATTTTCTGCTGGGCTTCATTGGTGAGTATATCTTCCCCAGCAAGGGATATATTGGATGCCCTTGTACACCATCCCCAAACAATTCAAATACCATGTTGTCATGGTTAATTTTACGTGTCAACTTACGGGCCATGGGGTGCCCAGATATTTGGTCAAACATTGTTCTGAGAGTTTCTGAAAAGGTGGTTTTGGATGAAAGTAACATTTAAATCAGTGGACTGAGTAAAGCAGATTGCCCTCCCTAATGTGGGTGGGCCTCATCCAATCAGTTGAAGGTCTGAACAGAACAAAAAGCCTGACTCTCCCAAGTAAGAGAGAATTATCCTGCCTGACTGTCTTCAAACTGGGACATCATCTCTTCCTGGGTCTTAAGCCTACCACCTTTGGGTGGGAAATATGCTATTGGCTCTCCTGGGTCTCAGGTCTTCAGACTCAGACTAGAATTAAGCCATCAGCTTTCCTACGTCTACAGCTTGCCAACTTGCCCTTCATATCCTGGGACTTACATAACTGTGTGAGCCAATTCCTTATAGTAAATCTCTCTCTCTCTCTCTCTCTCTTTTTTTTTTTTTGGCTGTGCTGTGCAGCTTGTGGGATCTTAGTTCCCTGACCAGGGATTGAACCTGGGGACATGGCAGTGAAAGCGCCAAGTCCTAACCACTGGACTGCCAGGGAATTCCCATAAATCTCTTTAAATACACACACACACACACACACACCTCACACATACGCGCTATTGGTTCTGTTTCTCTGGAGAACCCTAATATATACGTCCAGGCCTCCTCTCTAATTTTTAAGAGCTCACACCCCAATCTCAAAAATGTACCTGCTAGATGAATGCTGTGACGGATAGAACCCTGAAATGAGGACAAACACACAACACAAGGCTGCACCAAAAATTCAGATATGATTTGTCAGCCTTTATTAACCAAGAGCAAAGCCGAGCCCTAGAGTTTCCTTTTCAAAAACCCAACCTTGTTTATGGCAAACAATGATTTAATCATATGTTCAATACTACAGAGCAAGAATTGATCACCTTCTAATCACGTATTCTTCTGAGATTAAAATACAAGTGTAAAACAGGTTAAAATAAGATTCTCCCCAATGATTTAAAAATAATCCCAATTGAGAGACATTTCAAACACTATGTGTAGAACTCAGGACCAAAAAAGACCTTAAAACATTTTTACCTTTGAGGTAGCACAATAATGCTGAATTAGATTTCTTTTATTACAATGAGCTTAGGAAAACAATGAGGAATCTACCTTTTGCTCAAGGTGGGCTAAATGGTTTTCTGCAAATCCCCCATGAGTTTAGTGACAGTTTTCTCCTTTTTTTTAGAAGTATAAAGATAGCCCTGCAGTGTGTAAAAGGAAACCCATGGGAAGGCTGCTTCCCATAAAATAGACATTAGAATCATTGAGGAACGTCAGCAGTCAGGACAGGAGGAACAAGAGGTAATTGTAGTGAATAAACCAAAACAACTTGTATCTTGGCAAGATTGGTTTACAAGTGCATGTCAAGAACAAAAAATTCAACATTAGCCAACTGAAAACAAAATATAAAAGATAACATTCATGGGTCTTTTTCATTTTTCTCTGTGCAAAAATGCTCATTCAATTTTCCTAAATGAGAGAATTGTTTGTACACTGTGATAGGACATGGAAATGCTGTGTGCCAAGGGGCTGTTGGGTGCCAGTGGCACCTCTCACTGACTACTGTACCGTTGTGACTAGAGAATCTGGGCAATAAGAGGATGAACATGACCTCTCCTGGCTGGAGAATCATTTCTTGACACTTTGCTGCTGAATTTGCTTGTTAAACTGTTCAAAGAAAAGCTCCACCCTGATTTCTAAGAATCTACTGCAATTATACATAACATATTTATATATAAGGACTATGGACTAAGAGAACAGAGCAGATGAACCCTTCCTTCAGAGAATACAACCAAAAGAAGGAAGTGGGTGTGATTAAACTGGGGCCAGCAGGAAGAATAATACTGCAGGTTGAACCTCAAGGCTCTCAGGTACATTCTCCACCATGCAAAATCAATAGCAAAGCCAGAAAAGACAGCATGAAGCTCTAAACCATCATAGAAGAGAACAGTATAAAACAATTATCAAAAAGACCTCTTCCCGGGCTTCCCTGGTGGTGCAGTGGTTGAGAGTCTGCCTGCCGATGCAGGGGACGCGGGTTCATGCCCTGGTCCGGGAAGATCCCACATGCCACGGAGCCGCTGGGCCCGTGAGCCATGGCCGCTGAGCCTGCGCGTCCAGAGCCTGTTCTCCGCAATGGGAGAGGCCACAACAGTGAGAGGCCCGCGTACCGAAAAAAAAAAAAAAAAAAGACCTCCTCCCTGTGAGGCTCAACTCTCAGTGCAGGACTTGCCCAGCACAATGTGGACACCAGAGTCCTGAGCTGAACTTGGTCTGCCACCTTCGATTCCTCATGCTGTAAAGAGAACTGGAACACTGTCAGACTCCTGGCACCTTGGTAATGGCTGTGTCCTTTTCACTCACACTGGTCCCTGTAAAGTCTCCCTTCCTCAAGTCAGATCCTCAAGGGGCCCTATATGCAGTGAGGGTCTGGACTGATGATCCATATGTCAATCCACAGTTAGAGCAGGAAGACTTAAACCTGATGAATCTACTTTGTAAAACCAAAAGCATCAGTAAGTTGGGGGTGTCAAAGAGGCTTCTATGAAGGGGGAGATTGAACTGGGATGTGAAAGAGGGCAAGATGAGAAGTCCCATCCCTAGCAGCCTGCGGGAGTGACTGGGTGGGAGTTCACAGCTGGCCCTAACTAATGCTGGCATGCGGGGTGTAAGGGAGCATCCACTCAGTGTTTTGTTTATTTATTTATTTTTATTTTTAAAACATTTATTTTATTTGGTTGCGCTGGGTCTTAGTTGAGGCAGGCAGGCTCCTTAGTTACGGCTTGCCAGCCCCTTAGTTGCAGCAGGTAGGCTCCTTAGTTGTGGCATGCGAACGCTTAGTTGTGGCATGCATGTGGGATCTAGTTCCCTGACCAGGGATCGAACCCAGGCCCCCTGCACTGGGAGCGCAGAGTCTTACCCACTGCACCACCAGGGAAGTTCACCCGCTCAGTGTTTAAACAGAGTCCTTACACAGTCTGGGGGCTACACCTCTGTGTCACTCCCGAAGTTGAATGTACCTGTTACCTGTGTAAGAAACAGGTATGGTTCTTATCTGCTAAAGTGCAATATCTGCTTTCTTAATTTATATTTGATAATAAAGCAACACCACAGAAAATAAGAACCTCAGAAAACCGTGGGAAAAACCACACAGGCTTTCCCAGTGCTAGCTGCCTGTTTTGGAGTATTAGTTACAGTGTTTCACAATTCTGAGAGCTGCAAGGCAGGCTACCTAGGGCAGTCTGAAAGAGTCCTTCTGCTTTCACTTCATAGAGCACAAGAAAAAGGGAGAACTGACCAAGGTTGTGATGCGTCACCACTCTGAAAATCTCTTGACCATACTGTTTGTTCATGGCAAAAGCAGACAGCCTGGCTTAGGAGGACAATGGAAGGTGACCATATGGTCTCTATCACTGTCTACAACAGGAATGACTCAAGCCCCAGCATGTAATCGCTTAGGGATTTCTTGAGATATACAAGTTTAAAAAATTCATATTGGAAAGGGCCTCTTGATTTAATATAAACTTGGCTATGACATCCAAATTTATCTTTAGGTAAATTTCATACTGCTCTTAGGATGTCTTGTAGCATCTGATTCTAGGTTATTCTGAAGAAAAAAAATTTCATTCTGAAATATATCTAGTTAATTATGATAATTCATTAGAATTCCACCTGATATAATCAAAAGGTTTAAAAAGTTTTAAAATACAAGCTAAATTACTTTCCTCTGGGATTAACAACTGGAACCCTAAATATCCCAACATCTTTTTTTTTCTTTTTTTGTGGTACGTGGGCCTCTCACTACTGTGGCCTCTCCCGTTGCGGAGCACAGGCTCTGGACGCACAGGCTTAGCGGCCATGGCCCACGGGCCCAGCCGCTCCGCGGCATGTGGGATCTTCCTGGACTGGGGCACGAACCCATGTCTCCTGCATTGGCAGGCAGATTCTCAACCACTGCGCCACTAGGGAAGCCCATCCCAACATCTTAATTAGAAAGGTCTTTGCAGTAATTCTATGAAATTGTAAATGATGCTAATTTTTAAAAACTAACAAAAAGAGCTGATCTTTAAGATGAATGCCTGAGTCAGCTGACAAACTGATATATATGAATATGTCCAGGGAAATTCTCTAAATAGAGTTGGGTTTTTTTTTCAAAAAAATAGCTGCTTCTTCTTTAAAGAGTTTAAAAATTGATGGTTCAACAGCAAAGCTACATAACAACTCTGGAGTAGAGGGAAAGGTCTCTCTTTGCCAGCACACTGCCAATCAGTAAGAGCAACTGGTAATAAGAGATGGGCAGGAGTTGCCCAGGAAAGTATTTAGGTCAGATACAGTGATGGCACTCCCAGACCCCAGGTCCTTATAAATGGACAGCAATTCACTCATGTAAACTGCACAGAGATTAAACAAAACAAAATCTACTAAAACAAAATAAAACACCGCCGCCCCCAACCCAGAAAACCTTCCCTGGCTCTCTGCTACCTGTAAAATGTGCTAAACTCAAATTTTCTGCTCTAACGTGGGTTCCGACGTCTGATCAGTGTGCTTTGGGGTGCTGACCTGCTGGGCCCTGGGCAGGGTCTCTCCCTAAGCATCACTGAGAGTTTGGGGACAGCTGTCATGTGTACCACTGTCAGCAGACAGTACAATGCCACAGGACCACAGACCTCCATCACATCTGCCACCGTTTTTGATGGTAAAACCAAAGGCTACAGTTGTGGACTTTCTCAAAGGACAAATGAGGAAAGGACAAAGGACAATGTCTCAAAGGACAAATGAGGTTGGGGGAGGGTGTCTACAGTTATACATCAGGTTTGTGCCAACCTGTGGTAACTTCTAAAAGCAACAGTAGCAGCAAGAGAGGAAAGGAAGATGTTTACACTTTGGACTTTGTATCAGGCACTTAAATTTTTGGAGACACATGCCATTTTGAACCAAAGATGTGAAAACTGGGTTGGAGTAATCATTACAAGTGGTCTAATAATGGGCTTTCAGAAGCAAAGTGGAGGTGTGGGTTGAACCTCTACCCATCCTTTAGTGCTGACTTCCAAGTTTTCTAAACGCCCACAGCCATAGCAATGGCAGTGGTGGCGGCAACAGCAGGAACAGTTTTGTCACATTTTCTGTTTGTGTTCTGTGGCTGACCGGAAGGTTTTGGTGTCACACTGAGAAGGCTCTGGGGTGTGGCACACCTACTGCCCAGGATCTATCAGATCCATGCTGGAGCCGAACATCTTCACCAGCTGTTCCTCGTAGTGTGAGATGTTCCTCTTCATGATGTCCATGCAGGGCCCCAGAAGCCTCTCAAATGCTTGTACATCCATAACTGCATTGTTAAAAAGAGGTGAGGGAGAGAATAAGTTCTCTACACCAATAATTCAGTCATTTACCTCATGCAAACCTTTTCTTAAACATATCCATTCATGTTGTAGGAACTGGACTATTGGATACTGGACACTTGGAGAAAGAAGGGATGTTTCTATGTGAACACAGCAGGACTATGTCATCTAAGTTTGAGACTTTGTAGAGCGCAGCAGCACTCACTCCCTCTGTTCCCACACAGCCCTGGACACCTGTCTCCATCACTGCTCTTTCCACACAGCCAGGGCATCTATATGGCTGTTCATAGGCTATTGTCAGTTCTCAAAAATGTTTGCTAAAGGAACACATGAACCCATTTCTGGTTGGCCACACAAACTGTTCAAGCCTAGATGTGAGTGAGAGCTGACAAAGTAAGTCAAGGCTTGCTGATGGGAAAAAAATACTGCATGTTAGAAAAAAAAACAACACTAATGCATATAGAATTTTTCTTACCTAAGCATTTCACATCTCCCACTGCATAAGCCGAAGCAGCTCTGGGTTTGTTGGTGACCAGTGCAAGCTCTCCAAAGTACTGCCCCTTATGGCAGCGGGCAATCTCGACCTCTTGGTTCCCACCATCCTTGTTTGCTTTAGTCTAGAGCAGGGAGAGAACATGACCAGGGCTGATTCTAGAATCACAACTAGGCGCGTCCAGTTGCACACACTTACATCCCCTTTTCAGTACACTTAACAAATTACTTACAAATTCATGTTGCAGAGACTCTATTTGTAAACTGCATGGGCTAATCTCAGTGGCCTGGTTTAACCAAATGAGTTGGCTTTTACCAAGAGGTAAGGTGTATATATATATGCATAATATTATTATAGTATATATTAATATAGTATATATAGTATATAATATTATATTAATATACTATATAACATATAATAATGTATATTTTTATATAATTTATATTTATATATTATACATATATGAATGCGATCCATTTGGTAGATGCTGACTCTGAGACACAGGGTAGAAGACAAGGTCTTTTGCTAATTCTTCCTAAATAATGTCAATGCTTCTCATAGGTAAACAGTCACAATTCAGGGCTACTTCTTTTTGACTTGAGGCCATGCTTTTCTCGGACAATACTTTACAGCAACAAATTTTATTTTTAGGTACTACCTGCATCTTAAGTTAGTGGTCCCCCTACCATATTTGTTTAGAAGAGTTAAGTAACTAAATATTTTTAAAAGTAATGTTCAACCTTGAAATTTGGTGGTTTAAGAAATCAAGCAGGTTATACTTTGTGCTTTTCAAATTACTGAAAATAACGTACTATATTTTATTTACTATCTAGAGTTTCTTTTTTTTTAAACAAATCCATCTGCTAAGCTAAGCAATAATTTAAGTAAAAAAATACTTATAACATTAATAAGAATTAGTCTAAATCTTTAAGAACGACTTTGTTACAGGCAGATAAATAACTTTTTAAAGGTTAATTTATTATTATTATTATTATTATTTTTTTGGCTGCGTTGGGTCTTTGTTGCTGTGCACGGGCTTTCTCTAGTTGCAGCGAGCGGGGGCTACTCTTTGCTGTGGTGCGCGGGCTTCTCATTGCAGTGGCTTGTCTTGTTGCAGACCATGGTCTCTAGGTGCATGGGCTTCAGGAGCTGCAGAGTGTGGGCCCTGTAGTTGTGGTTTGCAGGCTCTAGAATGCAGGCTCAGTAGTTGTGGCACACGGGCTTAGCTGCTCCGTGGCATGTGGTATCTTCCCGGACCAGGGATTGAACCCATGTCCCCTGCACTGGCAAGCGGATTCTTAACCACTGTGCCACCAGGGAAGTCCCTGAAGATTAATTTAGAAAAATAAACAAAAGTACCACACTGGCTTACATGGTTTGACTTTTCCTCCTTTCACACTTCTGCCCTGACCTGTCTGCTCTGAAGTTGATCTGCCCCTTCCAAGCCAATGCTCTCTTTCCAATTTCTGTCATATTCTCTGGGACTGCAGACGTGTTCATGTCTACCTAGTCCCTTCTCTAGAGTAGCACTTATCACACTGTACTGTGAACACCAGCCCCCTGTGGGTTTTGATACAATGCAGATTCTGATTCAGTAGGTCTGGGGCAGAGCCCAAGACTGAATTTCTGACAAACTCCCCCTTTCCCAACCCAATGCCACAGTGCTGCTAGACCTACAAACCCAACACTATGCTGTGATCAGTAGGTGTCAATGAATATGAGAAATGTACAAACATATACCAGTAGTCTAAAAACTATAAGTAAAAAAATATATTTTTAATTAGGAATCAAGCCATCTTATAGGCACTAATCATATTTTTCTTTCTTTCTCCATGCTTAACTTTTACAAAAAATACTCCATAAAAGGTTTTACACTAGGCTGATCTAGTATTATATGTAACTCAGTATTTTAACAAGTTCTTTATTCTTAAAAAAATTGAAACAGGAAATCTGATGATGATGGATTTATGTAAGAATCACTCTTCCCATCTATAGGTCACTGTGTTTTCTAGATCTCCCTATCCATCAAATGGCCATAATAATAACTGTCCTAGAGACCTCCCTTCCTAGTACTCTAAAAAGGAAGCTTTTTCATATTCAACACTCACATGTATTTTTTATCATATAATTGCCCCATTTTCTGTTAGGGTGCTTATCCTTTTTCTTATTGATTTGTAGGCCAATATTTCTCCTATCATTAATTATGTAACAGAGGTAAAGGCAATAGGAACAAGACAAAATATACTAAATCTTTATCAATGAATGGGTTTAAACATTGGTCATTGTCAGTCACATATCTCACATAATGGTGGTTTTGATACACTAAACACACTTCACATTTTTAAAGCAAACAGTTACTTTCTGTGCATATACCTGGCATCTGGATCTCCCCTGACATAACTCACACCATCACACATAAACTCACCTTGCTTTTAATCAAGATGCTCACTTCTCCGGACTCTATAATGTAAAAACTATCAGCCTTTTCACCCTAAAAAGGGAGAGGAGGTCAGGTCAGAGCCATATATATGTATTAAAGAGGGACACAGAAATAGATCATTTTCACATTGCCTGAGCTTGAATTGGTATTTATTTTCCAAACCTACAAACCAGTAAATGGCTAACAAATTCAGAACAAAACGAGAGGATCCTGATTGCCAGGGATGTTAGTCCAACTATGACTGACAAACATCTCTCACTTCCTAACATGGAGTATTCACATCTGTCTCCATGAATATGCCCCGGCTGGTAACTGCACAGAGCATTAGTCCGCGCACCACAAGGAAGAGTAGCTCCCCCGCTCACCGCAACTAGAGAAAGCTCGCGCGCAGCAACGAAGACCCAATGCAGCCAAAAATAAATAACTAAAATAAATTTATTAAAAAAAAAAAAGAAAAAGAACAAAAAATTTGGAGGGCTTAAACTATCTGATTTTAAGATTTACTATGTAAGGCTACTGTAATCAAGACAGTGCAGTATTATTAACAGAGGGACAGACATAGATCAATGGAACAAAAAGAGACCAGAAATAGACCCAAACATATATGGCCAATTGGTTTTCAATGCAAGTGTCAGGCAATGGGATAGGAAAATCTCTTCAACAAATGGTGCTGAAACAACTGGACATCCATATGAAAAACCCTAACCTTATACCATGTAATTAATTCAAAATGGATCATAGATCTAAAACTATGAAACTAGAACTGCACGGCTCAATACAGTAGCCACTAGTCACATGGGCCTACTGGGCACTTGAACTATGGCTTGTATAGATTTATAGGTGCTGTAAGTGTAAAATACATATTGAATTTTAAAGACTGAATATCCCCCAAATGTAAAATATCTCATTATTAAATTTTTATATCACTTAGATGTTGAAATGTAATATTTTAGATATATTAGGCTAAAAATATATTATTAAAATTAAGTTCACCTGTTTCATCTTTTTAAAATTTGGCTACTAAAATATTTTAAATTGTATGTGGCTCACATAATATTTCTATTGAACAGTGCTTGCCTAGAAGTAAAATAGGAGAAAATCTTACTAACTGTGCAAACATTTTTTTTAATAGGGCACAAAAAGAGTGAATTACAAGAGAAAAAAATGACAAACTGGACTCGTCAAAATTAAAAACTTTTGCTTTTTAAAAGGTATTATTAATAAAATGAAGAGACAAGCCATGGCCACAGCCACATTTTGGGAGAAATATTTGCAAATCATTTGCCTGATAAAGGATTTGTTCTCAGAGTACATAAAGAATTCTTACAACTCAATATATTAAGAAGCCAAATGACCTAATTTTAAATAGGGCAAAAGATGTACTTCACCGAAGAAAACATATGGCTGGCGAGGAATCACAGGAAAAGATGCTCACCATCATTAGACATTAGGTAAATGCAAAATAAAACCAAAATGAGATACCACTTCATACTAGGATGGCTAACATTAAAGACTCGATACTAAGTGCTGATGAGGATACAGAGCAACTGGAACTCTTTGAACATTGCTGGGGGGAATGCAGAATGGTACAGACATTTTAAAAAACATTTTGGCAATTTGTTAAACCTATGTTTACCATATGACTCAGCAATTCCATAAAAACATATGTCTATACAAAGACTTGTATGCAAATGCTTATTGCAGCTTTATTCATAATTGCCCAAAACTGGAAAGACCCCAAATGTCTCTCAACTGGTGAGTGGAAAGATGAATTATGGTACATCTGTATAATGAAATACTACTCAGCAATAAAAAGGAATGATCCTCTGATACATACAACAACATGGATAAATCTCAAAAACATTATGCTAAGAGAAAGAAGTCAGACACAAAAAACTACACATTATATGGTTTCATTTATATGAAATTCTAGAAAAGGAATTTTTAGAGCGATAGAAAGCAGGTCAGTGGTTTCCAGGAGCAAGGGAGCAGGTGAGGGGATTTACTTAAAATACAAACAAGGGAGCTTTTGGGGATGACAGAAATGCTGTACACTATGATTATAGGGATGGTTATAAAACTCTCAAATTGTATACTTAAACTTGGTAATTGTACTGTATATAAAATACAGGGTAACAGGGGCTTCCCTGGTGGCGCAGTGGTTGAGAGTCCGCCTGCCGATGCAGGGGACATGGGTTCGTGCCCCGGTCCGGGAGGATCCCACATGCCGCGGAGCGGCTAGGCCCGTGAGCCATGGCCGCTGAGCCTGTGCGTCCATAGCCTGTGCTCCGCAACGGGAGAGGCCACAACAGTGAGAGGCCCGCGTACCGCAAAAAAAAAACCAAAAAAAACCCAAAAAAAACCCAGGGTAACAAAGTTGACCAAACAAACAAAACAACATAAAGCATAGTTTCTGCAGTAGGTCTGGGGTGGGGCCCAGGCACTTGAATTTCTAACATTCCTATATGATGCTAATGCTGCTAGTCCTGGGACCTCACTTAGAGAAGCCTTGGTCTAGAGACACTGCCGAAAAGGGTCTATAATAAGGTGGTTATCATCTTAATTTGTGTCCATTCTGCACCACCACCTAGCACTCCTATCTTCAAGAACACAGACATCCCAGAAAACACTGTGGTTTTTCATACCTCTTGACATACCTCCTGAAGGTCTGGGGCTTTTCAGGATTAAGTAGAGGTCCTTTGGGAGTAAATTAAAGCACCACAGCTTCAGAAGCAAATGTGGCCAGTCAGCATGTCCCATTTCTGCAACTCAGCTCTACATTCTTACCATACTAGGATACCTGCACTGGAACAAAGCTTACACCCACAGGCCTTTGCTCACATTGTTCTCTTGCCCTGAAAGATCCTTCCCTGACCTCAACTGCTGGAACTGCACTTGTTCTTTAAGCTTAGCTCAAAGGGCATTTCCTTCATGAAACCGTATAGAATACATCCTGTTCTATATTCTCACTGCCACTCTTTTTTTTTTTAATTAACTATTTATTTATTTATGGTTGCATTGGGTCTTCGTTGCTGCACACGGGCTTTCTCTAGTTGCAGCGAGCTAGGGCTACTCTTTGTTGCGGTGCATGGGCTCTAGGCACACAGGCTTCAGTAGTAGTGGCTTGTGGGCTCAGTAGTTGTGGCTCATGGGCTCTAGAGCACAGGTTCAGTAGTCGTGGCACATGGGCTTAACTGCTCCACGGCATGTGGGATATTCCCAGACCAGGGCTCAAACCGGTGTCCCCTGAATTGGCAGGTGGATTCTCAACCACTGCGCCACCAGGGAAATCCTCAGTGCCATTCTTTTTCCTCTCATTATAGCACTTATATCTGGTCGTGCTTGTCTATCTTAGTAAATATTTACCAAATCAAACCAATTTCTAATTAAAAGAATTATTAACAGTGGGGCTATCTAGAAAACAAAGGCATTTAGAGATGCCACTTAGAGTAGACATCATTTTTTTGTTAGTCCTTTTTCTCTGGAGCATCTCTCTCTCCTTTTATAACCCTGATTAATCTCTGTGGTACTGGTTGGGCCAACTCCACCTCCAGGGCCCAGGGAATCTGGGGATTTAGGCTTGACCAATCTGAGTCTTCCTTCTAGCCCCAGCTCTGGGTTCAGGTATGGACACATTCCCCAACCCAGACCAACCAGACATCTTCTCAGTGGGTCTTTTTTTTTTAATTAAAAAAAGTTTTTTGGCTGCGCCGTGCAGCTTGTGGGATCTTAGTTCCCCGACCGGGGATCAAACCCATGCCCCATGCAGTGGAAGCGCGGAGGCCTAACCACTGGACTGCCAGGGAATTCCCCTTCCCAGTGCTCTTGCCAGAACCACTGGCAGAGAAGTTTTAGACTCGGAAAAGTCTATAATACTCTTTATATATAATTAAAAATGGAAACATAGTAGACTAGGAAAATTATTACAGAGCACTCATCATAATGTTCCAGTGTGATGGTCCTTACAGTACCCAAAAATAACATGACAAGAAGGTACAAAAGAAACACTAAAGATACCTTACAAATCTGGTCAGTCACTGAAGACTGGTTTGTGTTAGATTAGCTAAAAGGGACTTTGTGCCAAACATAGAGAGAAGGTACACAACCTTTCGACCTTCTCCAGGTTTTAACAGTGATTCAGGAAGCTTACTCAGGGTTAAAATAAAATGACATCCAAAAGAACAAAAACCAGAAGCCAAGGAAAGGTGAATGGAGGCAAGAGATGTGCATAAGTCAGTGAACTGAACATCAATGGGCTTTAGAACACTCTGCAGGAAGAGTGCCTGCGTATCGTGCAACATGAGCTCCCCAAAGTGACAGGACAAATGATGCACTAGTCCTTCAGGAGATGGCTTCCGGGAAAGGTGCTGCACAAGGCCCCCACTCACCTGAGTGATTATGCGCTCTCCATCCTTATAGACCTTTTCTCCTATTACATCCACAATCTTCATTCGTTCTGACACCTGAAACAATGAACATACAAATTATAAGGAAACGTCTTAATTGAAAGTCACAAATAGTATCTATACAACATTGAAATGGGCTAGAATAGTATGATTTAAGAAACCTAACGAGAATCGTTTTAACAGCTTTGCTTAAATCCCCATAAACAGACTCTTATTGAAATAGGCTTTACCTCTAGTGATTTAAGAAGCAGCACAGATTCAATAAATGATTCAAACATCTTCCTCTTTTTTGCATTATTTTTCACTATAATTCTTCTAAACGTCACACGGTCCTATAAGAAAGGATATGAAAATTCTGGTAAATGCCTGTATAAGGGAGCATCTATGGTTTAATTAACTATGCCACAGCAAACAAACATTAGCGGTCTCTGGAAGGTACTGGGTCAACTGAGTGTTTAATGATATTTCAATCTGAGTCATTGCTATGAGAAAAAGATCTGTAGCCTGAGCCAGACAGATGTCTCACATGTTGTCACCTGCTATCAAGTACTCAATGGGTGCCATCTATGGGTCATAAATAGAATACAAAATTTAAAACGTCCCAATCAAACATTTGTGAGCTCACAGTCACTGTTTAATGTGAAAAGATGCACCTTCAAAAAAGGGAGATAAATCAATCAGATGGTTCTTGCCCTTAAGGACTTTATAATCTCAATGGGGAGACAATACAAAATTTATAGGAATAAAAAACTACAGTTCAAGACAGCACATGAAATGTGCTAGGTGAACTACAGAGAAAAAGTAAGTGCCACAAGAATTCTGAGGAGAGAGATCACGATAGCCTGGAGTGATCAAGGATAATTTTGTTGCAAAAATATAAATTTGTCTGGGACCTGAAGGAGAGGTAGGTTTTAAATTAATGGAGAGATAAAGTAGGAAACTCAAAATGGAAGGCAGGCATGTGAAAGATATCTTGACCCCAGCAAGTCACGGATTCATACTCAAGAGACAGTTAACCAGAGCTATGGTCAGGTACTTCTCAGATATGTGTATGCGTGTGTGGGGAGGGACATGCAGCCAGGAGAATGTTGATTGCTTAGGCTCCTACGTGAGTAGGCAGTTTTTTGTACCTAAGTTAATTTTAACTTTCTTCTACCTTGGGCTCTCAAGAATAGAAAGATTTTTTTTTCTTTTTTTTTTTAAGTACAGTAATGACATCCTAAAGGCTGAAAGAATGAAAAACAGTAAGGGGCTAAGGGCATGTTTAACTGTAGGTTTGCTATTTTAGTATTCTTGATGATGGGGTGGGAGCTGGGTGGAGCAAACACATAGAAGACAACTGAGTTGAGATGTCTAAACAGGTTTCACTGGCTCATATTCCATCAGCCACAGAACTCCCTGGTCCTATCCCATGCCACGCTTCATCTGCCTGACAGGAGAAGTCACCTACTGCACCCTATACTCCTAGTATAAAAGGTGGCAGACTCCTACCCTCCCTTCCTAAACAGAAGTACAAATAATGTCTGCTCTCTGGTACTAAGCCAGATTCTGCCCCCATTTTCTTTTCCATCTGTCTGCTTGAAAAGAGCCATTCAATCTCTGATTGCTCTAATCAGCTGCATCACTTGCCACTACTTTTTTGAAGTCCAAGGTTAGAGATGTATCATTTAAAATGTTACTGTTATACTTTGGAATATTACTCCATTATCTTTAGACTTCAGTTTCTACATGTTTCCTGCACCAATCTAGGCCAAGAGTGCTGTGGAAAGAGAACAATCAAGACTGAGACAATGGGAATTATAAAATTCCTTTCCTTATGTTTGAGCAGACATTGTCAAAAAACAGTATTTCTAAATCCATCTATAATGTTACAAAGATTACTAAAATTGCAGCAATAAACTGTATTTCTAGCTAAAGAGAAAACAACTGATATCTCTATTTGTGTTCCAACCCTTTCTATGCATGCTTTTGCACTTCCCAGAGCTCTCAGGCTGTGCAAGTCCAGTTCCTATGACTGCGGAGGATATAAAAAAGCACCAGACACCAACCCAGCTTTCAGGGAGCTTCCAATGGAGCTGTGAAGAGGAAACTCCTACTGTGAAATGGTAGCTCCCTCAGGCAGCCAAGTGTTCAGAGTCAAGCAAGTAGCCCTGAAGTTCAAAAGAGAAGAATACTACCCTTTCCTTTGACTGCAGAAAGTTTCTGCTGGGACTTCCCTGGTGGCACAGTGGTTAAGAATCCGCCTGCCGGGCTTCCCTGGTGGCGCAGTGGTTGAGAGTCCGCCTGCCGATGCAGGGGACACGGGTTCGTGCCTTGGTCTGGGAAGATCCCACATGCCGCGGAGCGGCTGGGCCTGTGAGCCATGGCCTCTGAGCCTGTGCGTCTGGAGCCTGTGCTCTGCAACGGGAGAGGCCATGGAAGTGAGAGACCCACGTACCGCAAGAAAAAAAAAAAAAGAATCCGCCTGCCAAGGCAGGGGACACAGGTTCGAGCCCTGGTCTGGGAAAATCCCACATGCTGCGGAGCAGCTAAGCCTGTGCACCACAACTACTGAGCCTGTGCTCTGGAGCCCGTGAGCCACAACTACTGAAGCCCACGCACCTAGAGCCTGTGCTCCACAACGAGAGAAGCCACTGCAATGAGAAGCTCACGCACCACAACAGAGTGGCACCTGCTTGCCACAACTAGAGAAAGCCTGGGTGCAGCAATGAAGACCCAATGTAGCCAAAAATAAATAAATAAATTTATAATTAAAAAAAAAAAAAAGACTCCGTGCTCTGCAGGGGGTCTGGGTTCGATCCCTGGTCAAGGAACTAGATCCCACATGCCGCAACGTAGATCCCACGTGCTGCAACTAAGACCTGGTACAGCTAAATAAATAAATAAATATTAAAAAAAGTTTCTACTCACTTTCATGCAAGCAAGACAGAGTGGGAGCAGAGACTAAGTGTAGTGGTCATGGTGGCAGCTGCCCCCAGTAAGAGAATGAATATAGAATCCAATTTGAGAAACTCAGTGGCAACACCAGGTCCTCCCTGATTTAGCCTCAGAAGGCATTTCCAAAGGCCTTGGAAGGCACAAGTAAGAAGTCAGGCTATAGAGGACCCTCTGGGAGTCACTTTCCTGAAGGTCGTACTGAAGCTTTGGAAGGGTTTGGGCTATAAAGCAGGTGAATAATGCAGGAGAAAAGGGTCACGTAAGGCAGCAGCGAGATGAATCTCACTTAAGATAGCAGGGAGAGGAAGAAAAGACTGCAAAGGATAAGGCTAGGAACTAGGAAGGCAGGGAAGGGATCTCAGGAGAGGGAGTTTCAGGAATGGAAGGGTGGTGAGCAGCACCACAACCAAGGGAAGCAGGTGCCACCACTCTGTAGTACCCTACCTTGTGCCAGGCACTGAGGAAACTGCTTCTCGGATGTGCTTCTACTTAATTCTCATATCCAAACCACAAGGCAAGCAGTTGTTTTTTAAAATTAATTAATTATTATTAATTTTTGCAGCATTGGGTCTTTGTTGCTGTGTGCAGGCTTTCTCTAGTTGTGGCGAGCAGGGGCTACTCTTCGTTACGGTGCACAGGCTTCTCATTGCAGTGGCTTCGCTTGTGGAGCACAGGCTCTAGGTGCATGGGCTTCAGTAGTTGTGGCACGTGGGCTCAGTAGTTGTGGCTTGCGGGCTCTAGAGCACAGGCTCAGTAGTTGTGACTCACGGGCTTAGTTGCCCCACGGCATGTGGGATCTTCCCAGACAAGGGCTTGAACCTGTGTCCCCTGCATTGGCAGGCGGATTCTTAACCACTGCACCACGAGGGAAGTCCAAGGCAAGCAGTTTTACAGTTCATTTTTAATAAATTTCTATTGAGACTTTCTCTTTGACTTTTAGATTTAGGAATGGGTTGATTTCCAAGTGTTTGGAGATTTTCCTGTTATCTTTCTGTTACTGATTTCTGGTTTCATTCCATTGTGGTTAGTGAACACACCGTCTGATTTCAATTCTTTTAAATTTGTTAAGTTTTATTTTATATCCCAGGATACATGTAGTCTATCTCAGTGAACATTTGTGGGCTTGAAAAGAATGTATTCTCTGTTGTTGTGTGAAGTGTCCTATAAATTTCAATTTGATCCTTTTGGTCGATGGTGATGTTAAGTACTGTATCCTTCCCAATTTTTTGTCTAGTTGTCCTATCAATTGTTGAGAAAGGGGTGTTGAAGTCTGCAAATATAACTGTGGATTTGTCTATTTCTTCTTTCAGTTCTATCAGTTTTTGCTTTACATATTTTGAAGCTCTGTTGTTTGGTATATACATATTTAGGGTTTCTGTGTCTTCTTGGTAGATTAACTCTTTCATTATTATGTAATGTTCCTCTTTGTCTCTGGTAATTTTCTTTGCTGTGAAGTCTACTTAATCTGATATTAATATAAGTTCTGCTTTCTTCTGGTTAATGTTTGCATAGTATATATATTACTATACTTTTACTTTCTTTTTTTAAAATTTATTTTTGGCTGCATCGGGTCTTAGTGGCTGTGCGCGGGCCTTCTCTAGTTGCAGTGAGTGGGGACTACTCTTCGTTGTGGTGCACGGGCTTCTCATCGCAGTGGCTTCTCTTGTTGTGGAGCACGGGCTCTAGGCGCGCGGGCTTCAGTAGTTGCAGCACACGGGCCCTACAGCACACAGGCTTCAGTAGTTGCAGCACATGGGCTCAGTAGCTGCAGTACGCAGGCTCTAGGGCATGCGGGCTTCAGTAGTTGTGGCTCGCGGGCTCTAGAGCACAGGCTCAGTAGTTGTGGCACACGGGCTTAGTTGCTCTATGGCATGTGGGATCTTCCCGGACCAGGGATCGAACCTGGGTCCCCTGCATTGGCGGGCAGATTCTTAACCACTGTGCCACCAGGGAAGTCCGAAAATAAAGATTATAAGGAAGTCTTTAAAAACGAAGATTCTTATACTTTACAAAATCATTTGGCTTGAACATATTCATAAAGACTTATGTTTCTCATTTTTATGGAGATTTGTTTTTGTTTGTAATCAATTTCTGTCTGAGTTCCAGAAATGCAAAAGATACAGCACTGAGAGAAGTGGCAGCTGACAAAATTGCTGTCTTTGACCTTCTGATGCGAGTTTAGTAACTAATCTGGAAAATAATGAACTGTAATTAATGAAATCTGTAGCTATATTCAAGTGTGTTTCTCAGACAGCACATACAATAACTGAAAGAACTTCCTGCCCTCTAACTAGTTAGATTGAATTAACTTGGCATAATAGCTTTAAAAAAAAATTTTTATTGGAGTATAGTTGATTTACAATGTTGTGTTAGTTTCAGGTGTATAGCAAAATGAATCAGTTATACATATAAACACTCTTTTTTTGAGATTCTTTTCCCATAATGTGTATATATCAGTCTCAATCTCCCAATTTATCCCTCCCCCCTGCTATTCCCCTGGTAACCATAAGTTTTTTTTCTACATTCATGACTTTACTTCTGCTTTGTAAATAAGTTCAGTTGGTATATTTAGATCATCTATATTTATAGTAATTATTCATATACTAGGGCTTATGTCCACCATTTAATTCAATGTTTTCTGTTCTTCCCTGTTTCCTGTTCTTCTGTTTCACTTTTCTTGCCTTCCTGCAGGTTACCTGAATGGATTTATAGAGCTTTTGAGTGTATCTCTTTGTACAGATTACTTTAGTGGTTGCTCTATGTATTATATTTATATATGTAACTTATCATGGTCTACTGGTGTCAACATTTTAGTAGCTTGAGTAAAGTGTAGAAGTTTAACTTCCATTTAGGCCCCTTTCCTTCCCCTTTAGAATGTAATTGTCTTAAATATTTCCTCTATATACATTAAGAACCACGTAAGACAATGTTATAATTTTGCTGCAAACATCTAACCTATTTTAGAAAACTCAAGAGGAGGATAGACTTTTATGTCTATCCATATGTTTACTGTTATTCTCTCTCCATTGATGTTCCAAATTTCTTTCTTTTTTTTTTTTTTTTTTTTGGCTTTGTCTGGTTTTGGTATCAGGGTGATGGTGGCCTCATAGAATGAATTTGGGAGTTTTCCT